TATAAATTTAAAAAAATTACACTTACCTCCCGGTATCCACGTCGATGTCGAAGGACCGGTGCTACCAGTAGAGGTGGGACCCCGGAACAAGATATAACCAATGCGGTGGGCCCAAACCCCAGAATGATGGAATACGGGAGGGAATATGCCCGGGACTTCCTAATAGGAACCCAAGGGTTGATCAGGCCCCCGGTTGATCTCCTGCACCGGACACATACAATTGAACACACAATTTATATATTTATTAAATCCAAACAATTAAAACTCCATTAAAATATTTATTGAAGTGAATAGCTATTAAAGACAATTATAAGGTGATTACAAATCCTTTTAAACGTGAGAAAAGTGGGAGGGAATTAAAAACGACAAAACGGATATAAACATTAGGAAACAAACTCCGAAAATACCTTTGACCCTTACAATATAAAATCTTGGCTCTTTATTATTATTATAATGCAAAATTTTTGTTCTAGGTTGGATTAACTAATCCACTTTAGTGTAGGTAACAAATTAAGTAGAGTTATTTTCATTTATGTCGGTGATAAAAATAATTTTAGAAAGTACCCGAATCAATTTTTATGTCGAATTACCCATTGAGCTCGAACTTTTCACTTTGCCGGGCCCGGTATCCGGATTTTTCTCTTCCAAGTTGACCCGGGTCGGGGTTTCCAGGCTAAAACCTCGAAAACGACGATTTATCAAAATACCCGGTTTTCGGGCCCGGGTTCGAGCTCTATTGCCCATTATATGTATGATTGATAATAAAAAGCTTATCCTTAGTTCATTCATCATATTTCACAACATTCATTAAAATTATTAATTTTCTTTAACTAATTTTATTTAATTTTTTAACATTGGGTCCGTCATTTCTAATTTTATATTTATTATTTAATTATTACGAGGCTTTCCATCCATGAAACATAAAATCTTTTGTTGAAAATTTTGTGCCAGTATGTCCGCCATCCCTTACCCATCCTGCAGCTTTCGGTAAAACTTTAACTTTTCCTTCATCGAATGTTCGATTTACCATTTGTTTTTCAGTAAAATGACGAACACAAACTGTGAATGTGTTTAGATCCCCAAAATTTCTTTAAAAATATTTTTAATTAATTATTCGAAATTAAAGTACTTAGATGTTTCCCACAGATGTTGACAATTATTTCTGTCTTCTTGTGAAGAAAATTTTTCCATAAAAAGTCCCTAAAACTTTAAAAGTATTTACATATTTAAAAATTTATTTACATGTATAGCTCCATTGTCCGATCCATGAAAGCTTTTTGGTAATTTGTAAAAATAATTGGCCCAAGTATTAAGAAAATTTCGACCATAAATTGTGTTTCTGTAAATATTAGAATTAGGTAGTCGGTATTTTCTCGATCCAGCTCAGTAAGGAAAGATCAAGATGAATTCGCGGCCTATGCTTAGCTGCCTACGCCCGAGGCATGCAGTGGCTAGTTAGACACTGCAATCCTGATTGGGGAAACCCATCTTAAGCTTACTAATTATCTGCTACTGTGTGCCGATTTGGCGGATCCGGATATCAGGATCCGAAAAAAGGCCGGATATCCGGAAATTTTCGGTTCGGATATCGGATCCGGATATCCGAATATTTCCAACTGTCCGTCAACCTTAGTGCCGACTGATAAATAACCAATGATAATTTAATTGACGACATTGTGGAGTCAGTAGGTTGTAAAATAGGAAAAAGTTGGAATTTAAGTGAAATATTTTAGGCAATCTAACAACCCTGATATATTAAAGACTAACTTAACTAAATAACTGCCTGCCATTATTTCATTATTGAATATTCTATCAATAAAAATAATTTGTTCTCCATTAATATATTCAAATAAAGAATGATTTGGATTAACAACAGCCATATCCCCATCAATAAATAATATCCACTCAAATTCAGAATGTTGTGACATCCACTCAGCAACTACACAATGGCGACGGAACATGAACTAATAACTAGAATTCTGTATATTTTTTCATTAAAAAATTTTTCTTTTAAAATTAGGCGGCCCGTATACCCTAAACAAAGGAAATTATCACATTTTGACATTCATTAATTCTCTTCTAACATTCTTTATAAATGTTAGATGGAATAAAATCATCGACGTTGGCTTATTTACATTTTTTCGTGTTCTTTAACAACAGCTTATATTAAAAACTATATCTCCAATCATATCTCAAAATTATTTTTTTTGCTTTAAAATTGGGAACTGAAACAAAATTTAGTAAATCCTCACGTCGTTTTGTCTGCATTTGTTTTCATTCACCGCTAAAGAGTTATTTACATTATCTTTTGGAATATTAGGTGAAATTAAAACAAAATGAGAACATTCTTGAGAGCGTTGAGCATAACAACGAACTGTACTTAATGCCAAACCAAATTCATTTAAACGATCAGATTTATCAAATACAGTTATAATTGCAATTTTGGGTTTATTTATCATTTTATTAGTAACAGAGAAATGACTGAAATTTAGTTAAAATAATTCTTAAAAAGGGAAAGAATCTCATACATATATGAAACTAATCACTAAAGCATAAACTAAACTGAAGTTAATTTAAAACGTAAGAACTCTAAAAATTCTAATCCTTATTTCACTCTTTACAACTTCTCATTTATTTAATATTTTAGAGAGCTTTTTTTGTAAGTGTAAGTTTTACTATTTTATCATATTTCAAACCATCCGTGGGATGGGGAATTATTCGAGGGAGGGGAATTAATCGAGTAAATACGGTATTTGAATGAACAAATTTTTACCAAATTATTGAATTTAAAATTTAAAAATTAAAATTACTCTAAAGATGTAGAATATATTGTCGATGAAATGAATTGATCAGAATTAAAATTAATAAAATAAAAAAATAAAGCTAATATAAAAATAATTAATATTAAAGTTAATGAATTTCTATTAAAGTTGTTAATTCTCATTAAAAACATGTATTTCTATAAAATAATATTTTCAACAAATTTGAATTCAAAAATTTATTTAAAAATAAAATTTGTTAAGTAAATGTTGAAAAATTTTCTATTTTAAGTTTCTAGAAATATGTGTGTATGCAGTAGCATATTCACGAGAGTTCGTGAATATTTCAAAAATAAATAGGTATTATAAATCGGTGAATAATAATAGTTTTGTTTTTGTCAGTTATCTCTCCATATACACATCTTCCTTTCACAATTTTTTTTCGAAGAATTTTGAGGAAAATAAAAGAAATTGGCCACCAAAATAATGTTTAGTTTTCCTTGTTGTTTTATATAAATTTTGTGAGATGACTATTAACTGTAAAATGTATACCGCTGCCCGTTTTCCATTTAAGGGAGGATAAAAAGATGGAGAATATTATTAATTATCCTTACTAGGAACCTAATAGCTTTCATTTTTTATTCAATAATTTTTTTAGTAAAACTCATACCGTATAACCTGTATTAATTGCCCTCCCTCAAATAATTACCCCACTTCCATTAATTACCCCATCCAACGATGGATTGAAACAATAATTACCCCCAAACAAATGCCCTAAAACACGTTCAAATTTCAAACCTAGTATAATTACCCTCCCTCGATTAATTACTCCCTCAACCAGAAGGTCGAAACAATAATTACCCAGGGTAGTTATTAAAGGATATACGGTAACTTTATTTATTTTACTCTTATTCAAAATAAAAAGAACAATTAGAAATTCAACCAAAAATCGGATTATTATATGTTTAAATTTAAAAATCACTAGAAAGATTTAACAATAAATCTCTGTCATTAAAATTTTTATTAAAAAAAATAATAATAAATTGGCAACATTTTAATCTAAAAAATGAATCAATATATGTATTTATTGTTTTATGAAAGAGAGTAAAACAAATATTGTAAAAATAGATAATTAATATTTAATTAGTAATGAGGTAAAAATATTATTTTTATCTTTGCTAAAATTATGAAATTTTAATTTAACTGTTAAAAAAAGATAAATATCTAGTAAAAGAATACTGGTTAATAGAGATCGAGTTGGGCCTTGGCCAAGGCCTAGGTTTTTTCCTGTACCCAGAGTCCAGGCCCAGGCATTTTTTGACCTTCCTGAGTGTTTCCTGAGCCTGGGTTTTTCCTGGACTACAGACCAAGGATCTGGACAAGGTCAATAAATCAAACCCATAGTCCAGGAACAGGCCCAGGCTTTAAAAAAATCTCAGTCTCTACAGGGTAATGCAGGGTTAAATTAAATTATAAACTTGTTTTTTGGAAAAATATGAAGAAATAAGTTTTGGAAATCTTTCAGTTTTTAAATAAAAATTTACTAAATCCTTCCATTTTTCTAAAATTTCTGGAAAATTAATACAAAATATTTAATCAATTAGAAAATATGTATTTTTAAGTGCATTTAATTTTTTATTTTAACAAAAATATTATCACGATCTATTGAATTTTTTCAGCCAAAAAACACAAAAATTTGAAAAAATAAAAACAAAAAAAATAAATACAGACAATTTTAATATTAAAAAGAATAGTAAAAAATAATTATTTTAAAAAATAAAAATTATTTTAAGGTTACCAAGGTGAATTTGTTTTAAGAAATTTTTTTTAATTTTATTGTTTATTCTGTAAAAGTTTTAAATTAATTTAGAAATTCAATGAAACGACCTCAAAAAAAGTTTAGATACGATTCGGTTGAGTCTTGTCCATAACCCTTTAGAGTATAGGGAAAATCATAAATAGAGAGCGGAACGGGATCGGGACTCGGTCCCTTTTTCGCGGCTTTTTTAAAGATGCCGGGATGAATCTTCAAAAAGCCGGAGTCCCTGTTCAGGTCCCGGCCGGTTAATTTTCATTTCCCGTTACCTGTTTTTTTCAAAATTCCGCTCTCTAATCATAAATCCCGGATCTCGTAACAGAAATTTTTCAGAAATTTAGTTAGGGTTGTTCCGTTATATTGATCTCGTAATTCTCTGTTTACAGTTCTTTGCTTTAGTCATTTTTTCTTTTTTTAAGTAAAAAATGGATTCTGATTTATATGACGAATTTGGAAATTATATTGGTCCTGAACTAGATAGTGACGATGAAGAAGAAATGCAGCCAGTTGGGAATGAAGAAGAACAAAATGACGAGTCTATGGAAAGAGTATTTTATTTTTAAAGATTAATTTTAAAAAATAAATTTAAGGATGAGGAAGAAGACGAAGCAGAAACACCAATTGTCCCGGCTAACCAAATTGTTTTGCATGAAGACAAAAAGTATTATGCAAGTGCTATGGAAGTGTATGGAGAGGGTGTAGAGGCTCTAGTACATGAAGAAGATGCACAACCGTTGACTGAACCTATCGTTAAGCCTGTGAAGCTTCGACGATTTCAAGTAAATTTTATTTTTGTTAATTTCGGGTCTGAGAACTTCAAATATTTAGCCAGCCAGTATCTCTTACTGATCTGTATTTTAGCTATGTGTGTTTTGATGCACCTACTTATTCAGGAAAAATTTTGAGGGGCTTGGAGGAATATTTTTAAGAGCTGTTTTTTGGCACCAGAAAAACTGAGGGGTCCGTATTCAAAAAATTTATTTTTCCGCCGAATAAACCAAAATAAAATTGTTTAATATTTTTAGGCTCAAGAAAATTTACTTCCCGAAACAGTTTACAAAAAAGATTTTCTCGTTGATTTAACAAGCAAACCAGAACTTATTCGTAATTTGGCAATTGCTGGACATATTCACCATGGAAAGACTTCCTTTATTGATTGCTTGGTAGAACAAACACATCCAGATTTATTTCGTTATGAGGACAGAGACCTTCGCTATTCTGACAGGCTTTTTATCGAGCAACAACGGGGATGTTCTATAAAAACTCAACCCGTTACTTTAGGTTATATTTTGATTTAAATTCCCCCCCCCCCCCCGAAAAAAAATCCTGGCTACGGGCCTGGGGGGGGGTGTTTTTTTCCTGGTTACGGCCATGACTTAAACTGGTCTTCAATATGGTCTTTAACCGCATGTTTTTAAGTATGAACTCATCTTTTTGGCTTCTAAATTTTTCCCATATCTTCCGTAAAGGATTATGACCATTTTGTTTTTTGGATTGTTTGCCACTTTATTCATTTTCTAATTCTTAAAAAATTTCTTTTCAGTAATGCCCTCATCTCGCAACAAATCTTATTTGTTAAATATTTTTGATACTCCCGGACATGTTAATTTTTCTGACGAATGTACAGCAGCTTTCCGACTATCTGATGGGGTTGTTATAATGGTTGATGTTCATGAAGGAATGATGTTAAATACTGAAAGATTACTTCGACATGCAGTTCAGGAACGTCTTCCAATTACTATTTGTTTAAATAAAATTGACAGACTTATTCTTGAATTAAAACTGCCGCCAGCTGATGCTTATGCTAAATTGAAATTTACTTTGGATCAAATTAACAATTTTGTTCAGTTAGTTTTTTTGAATTTATTTTTTAAATTGTTAATGGCTATCAAGGGCGTAGCCAGGGGGCTTCTGAGGCTAAACCCACCCCCCTCCCCGAAATGGGGAAAAAGGAAAAAATGCGTTAGGAACTCCAAAGTAAACGCCAAAATTTTGACGCTAACCCAATCTAACCCAATTTTAGCCCCCTGAAATCGACTTCCTTGCTACGCCCTGATGGCTATACAGTTCGCTGGTTATTTCTGATTTTTTTGGGAAAATCTTTATAACGGCAGTCATGTTTTTTTTATTTTTTGGGGAGGAAATGGACTGAAGAAAATTTCTCTATTTTGAGTTAATTTTTTAATCATTTTATTTTTCAGGACATTTGGAGAAGAAGATATTCCTTTATTTTCTCCATTAATGGGAAATGTTATTTTTGCAAGTGGTCGTTATTCTATTTGTTTTTCTCTTCAAAGTTTTGCAAATATTTATTCTTCAAAATATCGAGAACTTGACTCCATCGGATTTGCTAAACGTTTGTGGGGCGATATGTTTTATGATCCAGCGACTCGAAAATTTACACGAAAACAACAATTTAGTTCTCAAACTCAGGCACCTAGAACTTTTGTTCATTTTATTTTGGAACCGATGTATAAACTTTTCTCACAGGTTTTTTAAAACATTTTTATATTTACAAGGATTATATTCTCTTAAATAAAAGTAGATTCTAACTTTAGTACTGTTCCCATATTTTTTTAAAAGTTTAAACCGATTTTATTAAGAATTTACACTTGAGACCGCATTCCAAGGGTGTAGCCAGGGGGTCGATTTTAGGGGGGGGGGGCTAAAATGTTTGTGTGCCAAAATTTTGACGTTTACTTTGACGTTTCTAACCTCACAAGGTTTTATTTTCCCCATTTAGGGGGGGGGGCTTTAGCCCCAAAAGCCCCCTTGGCTACGTCCTTGCTACATCCTTTAATTTCGGAGACACGTAATATTTTTATATTCATTTACAAAATATTTTTGTTAATTTTCTAGAATTTATTTTAAAAATTTTGAGGTTGTTGGTGATGTTGACACTTGTCTGCCAAAATTGCAAGAACATTTGGGCATTAAACTTACTAGAGAAGAACAAAAAATGAATGTACGTCCATTAATTACATTAATTTGTCAACGCTTTTTTGGAACTTTTACAGGTTTATCTTTTAAATGTTTTTAAATAATTAACATTTTTTAAAGCTTTTGTTGATCTTGTTGTGCAAAATTTCAAGTCACCCGTTGAAAATGGTCCTATAAAAGTACAACAGTGTTATACTGGTGAAATAACACGTCCTTTACCAATGGCTGTTGCTAAATGTGATGCTAGTGTTTGTTTTTTTTTATTTTATCACATCTTTTAAGTACTTTATATGTTTTAACCCGGAAACTGCGATTTTTAAACTTTAGTCGTTTTTATTCTATTTTCTAAAAATATTGGGCCATAGCGGGAATTTATTTTCCTGTATTTCATTTTTTATTATTTTTCCTGTCGAATTAAAGTGGAATTAACATCATCTTTAGTTTATCTATTTAATTACAAAAATATTAAAATTCATTTATACTTTTGGTTCGAAGTAATTATTTATTTTTTTAGGGTCCTCTTTTCATTCACACAACAAAAAATTATCCGACACAAGATGCAACTGCTTTTCATGTTCTTGGCCGTATTTTCAGTGGAATGAGTAATTTAATAATTTAATTCTTTTAAAATTTTACTTTTTAGTTCATATTGGTGATGAAGTCAAAATTCTTGGAGAAAATTACAGCATCCAAGATGAGGAAGACTGTCGAGTTATGACTGTTGGACGTTTGTGGATCCCTGTAGCTAGGTTTTTATTTATATTATTTTTAATTAAAATATCACAAAATTATTCTTCCTCCTATTTTATTCTTTTTAGTTCAAAAATTCTTTAAATAATTTTATTTAGATATGATATTGAAGTCGGCAGTATTGGTGCTGGTTGTCTTGTTTTAATGGAAGGGATTGACCAGCCAATAACTAAAACATGCACAATTGTTGAAAAAGATTATGATCAAGATGAAGTTTTTATCACAATTTTTGAAGGCCCCGAATTTATTAATTTGTATTTTAGCTCTACATATTTCGTCCGCTCAAATTTAATACGTGCTCTGTAGTGAAATTGTCAATTGAACCAATTAATCCGTCAGAATTGCCAAAAATGCTTGATTCTCTTCGTAAAGTCAATAAATCCTATCCATTGTTGACTACAAGGGTTGAAGAAAGTGGGGAACATGTTATGTTAGGTTATTGAAATTTTTATCTTTGACTATAAGATTTGAATTTGTTTCTGACATGAGTGGGTTTTACAAAAATTAGGCTTGATTTCTGTTAATAACTTGTCCCCGGGTTCACACAGAAACTATAGGAACTCCATCAAAATCTAATTTATAAATTTTTGACTAATTCAAGAATTAGTCCCCAAAATAAGTTTTTCTCAATAATATGTATGTAGCTCCCACATGATTATGCCAATTCTAGGTACTGGAGAACTTTTCATGGATTGTGTTATGCACGATATACGTAAAGTATTCTCTGAAATTGATATTAAAGTTGCTGATCCAGTTGTATCCTTTTGTGAAACTGTAGTTGAAACATCTTCACTTAAATGTTTTGCACAAACACCTAACCAAAAGTAATTTATTTTTTATATTATAAATTATCTAAAATATTTAGGAATAAAATTACAATGATTGCTGAACCATTGGAAAAGGGATTGGCTGAAGATATTGAAAATGAAGTTGTCAAAATTACATGGAACAGGTTTTCCCTTTAAAATTTCCATTTACCTCTTAAAATTCTTTCAATTTTAGAAAACAACTTGGAGACTTTTTCCAAACTAAGTATGAATGGGACTTGCTTGCATCCCGTTCTATTTGGGCATTTGGACCAGAAACGAATGGACCGAACATTCTTTTGGATGACACTTTACCTTCCGAAGTTGACAAAGAATTACTTAAAACTGTGCGAGAATCGATTATTCAAGGATTTCAATGGGCAGCGAGAGAAGGACCTTTGTGTGAAGAACGTGAGTTCTTAAATTTCAATGTTTAAAACTTAATTTAAAAAATTTAGCTATTCGGAATGTCAAATTCAAAATGTTGGATGCTCATATTGCTAAAGAACCATTATATAGAGGTGGTGGACAAATTATTCCAACATCACGAAGATGTGCTTATTCTGCATTTTTAGTCAGTAAAAATTTATTTTTGATTGAAATGTGTAATTAAAAATTGTCTTTTATTTAATTTATTATAGAATTGTCCGTCTCACAAGATCCTTCGGTTAACCGAATCGAAAATTTTTGTTTTTCGGGACGGTTTTTTTATGTTTTTATTTCATCACTTATACTATACCGTGATGCAAGGGCGTAGCCTAGGGGTCGATTTCATGAGGGGGGCTAAACCCACGGGTTACGCCTTTGCCGTGATGCATCCTTGATATATTTGATATCCGCAGTCTCTAACACACCTTCATAATCCACTTAAAGTTAATTGATTCAATGAATTATTTATTTTGTCATCCTCTTCAATAAAAAATTTATTCTTTTTCTCTTTAAAAGATGGCAACACCTCGTTTAATGGAGCCATATTATTTTGTTGAAGTAATAGCCCCAGCTGACTGTGTTACTGCTATTTATACAGTTCTTTCAAAAAGAAGAGGACACGTAACTACAGATGCCCCAATTCCTGGTTCTCCTCTTTACACAATTAAAGCATTTATTCCTGGTAATTCTTTATTTGAAATAATTTTAAAAAATTTTTATTTTACTTTAAGTTATTGATTCTTTTGGGTTCGAAACTGATTTACGTACACATACACAAGGACAAGCTTTTTGTTTAAGCGTTTTCAGTCATTGGCAGGTAAATAAAAAAATATTTATATTTTGACCTTTTTTAAACAAAAAACTTAAAAATGCGATAATTCGCATTAAAATACGTTTTATATTATACTTTAATTTTGTCTGATTAACTTTTTAAATTCCTTTGTCCTCTAAACAATCGATTCAAAAATTCTTCAGTTTAACAAAGGTCGAAATTCTTAGATTTTTTTCCAGTTCGAAATCGGAAACCTTTTTAAAGACCAACCATTTTTGAATAATTTAATAAAATCATTTTTTAATCAAAGAATCTTTTTATAATTAAAATTTTAAAGATTGTACCAGGCGATCCACTTGATAAAAGCATTATTATCCGTCCATTGGAACTTCAACCGGCACCTCATTTGGCACGCGAATTTATGATTAAAACAAGACGAAGAAAAGGATTGTCTGAAGATGTTTCTGTCAATAAATTCTTCGATGATCCTATGTTGGTGGAATTGGCTAAACAACAGGATCTTTTTAGTGGTTTTGGAGTTTAACTTAGTAGAGCGATCTCTCTCTTTTTGTTATTTTCTTAATTATTTGGAATTTTCTTAAATAAATTTTTGTTTTTTTGTAGATAGAAAGAAGTTGAAAGAATTTTTAAGTTTACAGTGTTTTGGGTATTCTGATTGGAATTTTTTTTGAAAAAGCAGATTAAAAGGGGGGGGGCTTTCTTTGAATGTTTAATGTATTTATCAAAAATTTTCATTAGAATTTTGTTTGACTCGTAAAAGTTTATACATAGATTAGTGAAAATTATTTTGGACTCATAAATCTTCATTGCATCATTAAAAGTCTTACCCGAATTTTCTTGGTCTCAATGATAGCCACGTTATATTACATAGTTGAACCTATTTTTATTTAGGTAGTCTTAAAATATTTTTTATGTGTTTTCAGTAAATGAAAAATATTTTAATAAATAATTTTTGACAAAATTTTTAATTAAACAAAAATAATAACAAAAATTTTTAATATTAAGAAAAACTAATTTTATACCACATATAAAAATAGATTTATTACTTTTTTCCTTTTGTTTTTGTTTAAATTAAATTTTTTAATATATCCTTCTTAACAATAATAAAATTCTTGTATTATCCAAAAAAATTTTTTAGTCAAAACAAAAATTAATTAATTTTTTGTTTTTACGTATTTACATGCTTTTTGATGTTTTTATTAGTAATTTTGTATTTAATATATTAAATTTATTATTTTTATTTAAAATTTATATAAAATGAATTAGGAGTAGGGTTGTCGTTTCTGGACCGAATCGAATAACCGAGGATTTTTTTGGTTCGGTTCCGGATATCCGAAGATTTTCCAGGAACCGACAATCCTAATTAGGAGATAACAGAAAAGTACCAAAAATATTTAATTGAAAAAACATTTAAATAATTATTTTTTAAAAATTTTCTCTCACAATTAAAGTAAAAATACTTTTAAAAATTTAATTAAAAATATTTTTTACCCAAAAAGGTATATAAAAAACTCAAAGATTGTTTTACTTTCATTTTATCTTCTCGTGTTACTTTTGTAAACATTTGAAATGCGAAAAATAAAAAAATAATTATAAGGTAAAATTTTAACTAGAATTTATTTTGTAGAATTTATTTTAAATCCATTTTTGAGGAAATAAAATAAAAAGGAAGAGGAAAGTAGATTTTTATTTAAATATTTTTAACTAAATAAATAAGGAAATATGTATGTAAGTATTAGTTCCTTTAAAATAAATTTTAATTTTTGTTTATTGTTAACAATAAATAGGACCCGGATTTTCAGATCATTTTCTATATTTTGTTTTAGCTTAATTTCCTCTGTTCTTTAATAAATATTTTTTGTTCCTGGTTTTCCTTTCTGAGCTTTTTATTTTCCAAAATCCGGACCCATGTCATTGATAATTTCAATATACAGAAATATTAATTTTAATATTTTAAAATATTCTAATTTTAATTTTATCATTTTATAACTCTCTAAAAACCTTATTTTTAAAATATTTCTATAAAATATTTTTCGAATTGTCCTTCAGACCAATTCAGATAAATTTTTATTAGAAAATTAATTTTTAAAAATAAATAAAATAACTTTTAAAATTATTTTATTATAATTAAAAATTAATTCGTTAATTATAATTTAGACTTTAACATTTAAATTTATTTTCAAAATTCCTCTTTGTCTATACATATTTTTGCATGATTCTATTTTTTATACCTTTTTGTGTACTTACATAGCATTCTAAAGAATAAATAAAATAAATAATTAATGTATTTATTCATAAAATTTTTCAACCTTTTTTTATTTTGTCTATAAATCCTTAAATAAGGTCACAAAAATTATTGAATAAATAAATAGGTAAATTCTTTAATTTTTTACAAAGCCTCAATTAGAAGGTTATTATTCTTATTAGACAAAGGTCTAGTGAAAGAAACAGACGTCGGTAGAAACGAACTATTTTATCCCCCCCCTGTAACTTTTACTTGGAAAAATAAAATCATTTAATTTTGTATATTTACATTATAATAATACTTAATAGAACCACATTCTCTCTAACTTAAACACCCTCCCCCCTCCCCCGCACTATTAGAGGATTTTATTTATTTTTAATCTTATAAGAGGCACATCCTTTTAATTAATTAAATTTCATTTTCTGAAACTAAAATTACTTTTAAATTATTTTTAAAATTTTTTCATTTATTTCGTCATCAAAAACTCAACCAACAACAACCAAATAGCGTGTATGAATTAAAAATATTTCCTTTCATTTTATATCAGACGCGGAAAAAATAAAAATTTGGCTAAAAAATAAATTATTAATTAATAAAACATTAGAAAATTCTCCTTCCTTTTTGCTTTAAAAATTTATTTATATTTTCATGCAAATTTTTTTAACATTTTTTAAACGAAACAGTAATTTCAACTTATATTTTAAAAGAAATTTATTTTTTAAGAGAAACAAAATATGTATAGTTAATGGTTGGGAGCTTGTACTTACCAAAAGTCTTTCTCGTACCAATTTCGATGTACGAGTGGAGAAAAATAGAGCATGCAGGAGTAGGAACAAAATCGAAATTTTTAAGGACTTTTATTTCAAAATTTAACAAAAAATTATTCTCATTAAAAATTTTTAAATTTCCAAGACAAATTAGTTTTCCATTTAATAAAAATTAAAAATTGGTGTTGAAATATAAAATTAAAAAAAAATTTTTTTTAAATTTTAGATTTTTAAAAAAATAAATGTTAAATGCATTTATTTAGATTAAATCAAACAATTAATTTAAAATGTCAACAACAACAAAACTTTGAAAGAATGTTTAATTATAATTTAAGGTTTTTAATTGTTGGAATGTTTGGCTCACTCATATCTATTGTATTTTAATTTTAATTAATTATTAAATTAATAAAAATCAGACAAAAAATTATATTTATATATCAAAGTAAGCAACCGGATCCCTCCAAAAACTAAGAAACATGTATCTCGACAGATCTCCAAATCAAGAGGAGTTTAATCTTTCCACAACTTATTACAGTCGAATCTTGATAAGACGGCACCCCCGGATGCTTTCGATTTCTTTTAAGGAAATAGATGTGCTATCGGATGTCACGTCGTGCTATCGAGATTCGACTGTGGTATTTGTAATTTTTTGCTTTATCACGAAAAACTGGTTGAAGCTTTCAAAATCGACAGAATGTTTTAATTAAATTTATTTTTTAAATTTAAAGATTTCTATTATCCAAAACCTTCTACTTTTTTACGTTTTTGCTACATCAAGAAAACTTAGACGACAAAATTATGTAAATCCAGTATTGCTTTCTTTCTTCGATATTGTTGTTTCTTTAATTTATTTGCTCATCTCTCCCGTTCATTTTTTAGCTTTTCTTTTAAATTTTAGAATATTTATTAATTTTTGGACAAAAAGTATTAAAATACTTTTTTGTTTTGAGGTAAATTTTTAAAAAAAAAATTATAAATTACCTAAGTGTTTAGTGTTACTTTTGTAAATAAACATGAATGTTCATGAAAAAATAAAATTAAAATTTATATTAACATAAAAACTATACAGTCAAATCTCTCTATAATAACACTTTTTGTATGAAATTTGTTGAGAGAGTCGTGAGGGAGTGGAGTTATCCACTGTACATTAAGGATGGCGGTTCCGGATCCGAAAAAGGCCGGATATCCCAGATTTTCGGTTCGGATATTGGATCCGGATCCGTATATCCGAAGGTTTCAAACTATCTGCCAACCTTGCTGTGCATATAAATTTATTTTTAGAATATTCATTATCCACATCCATTTTGGATTGTAGCTATTAAGAACAAAAAATAATTACGTTTATAGTTTGACTAAAAATGAGAGTTTTTAAGGCGAATTTAAACACTAATTTAACGTTACTTATAAAAATTAATAAAAAAACTTTTTTAAACAAAATTAATTTAAGCATTTTGCCCTAACTGTTTGCAATTTTCTTCTTGTAATAGCAAGTATTGAGCGATATTTGGCTAATAGTCCATTCAATGCACAAGTATTTTAAATAAATAATTTTTTAAGAAAAATGTTTTTTCAGAAATGTTTACTTGTTTTTCTTGTTAAAAGAAAACCTTTTGTTATTTTTACAATTCTTATTTTTGCTATTTTATTAAAAGCTACTTTATATTTTGAAATTAATATTTTTAAATTACCTAATTGTTCAAATATTATAGAGAGGTTGGTATTTTTTTGAATAAAGGAAACTAAGAAATCAAAAAAAAATAAAATTTTTTTGATTTTTTAATTAAAACATACCTAAAAGATACTTCAACAAGTACCCGAATAATTTTCCGCCCACCCTTGAGAAAATTAAAAAAACCCTTGACTTACTCAATGTATTTACTAATTGATATGTTAATGAGGGATTTAACATGTGGAACTTAAGTTGGTTACCTACATACAGGGTTTCGATCTCGAATTTTTAAAAATCCGCAAAATTGATCGAAAAAATCCGCATTTTATATCAAAAATCCTCAAAAAATTATCAAACACAAAAATTGAATTAAAATCTCTTTATGATTGTATTTTTCGTCTTCTACAATTGAATTAAGCAATTTTTTTATTACTAATGATCATCTTATGAAAATACGACAATTATCTGAAAAATTGTATTTTTGTCGCGGAAGATGTAAATTTTTATTTCTTCCATTTTCAGCGCCGCAGGCGAAAATTTTTTTAATTTTGTAAGATCCTTAAGCCAAAAATCGTTCATTTTCAGGCCTGGCAAAAATTTTTTTGAACATTTTGGAAGATCAAGGACACAGATTCCTTCCTTTTTTGCGCCGCAGGCGAAAATTTGAGAATTTTTGAAGGCCAAGAAGCCAGATTTCTTCCATTTTTAGCGCCGCAGGCGAAAATTTTGAGGATTTTAGGAGGTCTTAGCAGAAAAATAATGACATTTTTACTAAAAACCACAAGAAAATATAAAAAATCTTCATAATCTTCAAAAGACCACAAAAATCCGCAAATCCGCATTTTAAAAAATAATCCTCATCGCCCTATCAAAAAACCACAAAATGAGGAAAAATCCGCAGATATCGAAACCCTGCCTACATATGTACTTATGTATTCCCCATTTATCAATTTTTCCGTTTCCCTGCGTTCTAACTCCTCAGAAATTTAATTTTTTATTTTTAGTTCTATTTTGGTTTTGAATTTTAATAATACTAAAATAATTAAATATCAATCTTTGCGATTTTGGACAAGAAATATTCTTTCTGTAATTTTACCATTTATTGTACTTGCTTATTGTAATTTATGTATTGTTCAAGTATTGAGACGTCGTCGAAGAAAGAAAACAATGGGTAAGGGAAATGAAAAATATTTTTTTTAATTTTTACTAAAGAAATAATCGGAAATTTCAAAAAAGCTGCTCATACGTGACTTGAGATTCGTTGAGATTTGCTATCGATATCTAGATTGTCTTGATAGTCGAACGAAATCTCGTCTTGGTTTTTCTTGATTTCTAGCTTATCTATTTTCATAAAGAGCTTATACTTTATCAAATTAACGCTCCGATAAAGATATTATAGTTATATTTTTTATATAAGCTTCCAAGCCTTATATGAGCCTTTTTGTTTTGAAAAAAATTAATTTTTAAATTATTACCAGATTATTCTACTTCAATTAACAGCTTAAATGACAATCAACAAAATTTAATCCCTTCTTTTAATAATAATAAAAGAATTATTAATGAAAACAGTCAATCACCTGCACCTTGTAAAAATAAATTTATTGGATGTTCACGTTCTAGTAACCAAAGAATTACTTTATTTAAATGGTAATTTTGAGGAAATATTGGGTTGGAATAAATTAATAGACTTGAAATTTAATTTTTAAAAGCAATGGGGAATAATGGAAGTCTTAAAGAAATTTAATAAATTTATTTTAATTTTAAACATTTAATTAAAGTGCTTATGCCCCTCTTATTTTGGATTTGAGAAATAAACAAAATAAAAAGTTAGAGGAACGTTTACCATCAGAAAATAGTAATAATGAAACAAATAAGAATTCTCCATTACCTGTTGATAATGGAAAAATTGGTGTTAGAATTGCTACAAGAACTCTTGTAATGGTTAGCAAAATATATTTTTAATTAAAAAATAAAGGGAATTTTAAATTTTAGGAAAAGTCTTAAAAATAAAATTTTTGCAAAAGGAAATTCTTAGGACTGTATGGTAATTATTTAATCGGGAGGAATAAATAAATCAAAAACTGATATTAGGAATCACGAAAAGTCTCAAAATCAATTTAATTTTCTAATTATTTATTAGGTTGTTGGTTGTTATTTAATTTCAAATTCTCTAAGTACAGCTTTAAATATTTGGGAATATTTTGATTTGAAATTATTACGACAAAATAATTTTCATATTTATTTGATGATAACTGATATTGCTGCTTTGGTAAGTAAAAAAAAGATAATGGAAAATTAATATTTTAATTAATCATTCATATTGAAATTAAGTACCTAAATTATACTTTGTATTTTCTAAATTATTTAAAATTTTGAGAAAAAAATTTCAAAAATTTAAAAGTTAACAATTTGTGGTTGCGCCCTTCGTTTACCAATTTATATTTCAAATGATAAAAGAATTAGAAAAGCAATATGTCGAGTATTTATTCGTTTACGTTTTGGGTTTTGTAAAAATTCAAAGCCAAAATCTGAGGAAATTTTGAGGCAGGAAGGAATTGAAAGATTTTTAGAGAAATATTCAATTGCTATTGTTTCTAATAGTTTAAGGAGTAATTTAACTGGAAATTTTGAAAATAAAGGTAAAAATATTAGAAAATTTGGAAAATATTTTAATGAGAAAATAAATAAAGTACTTAATTATTTAACCTCAACACAAAATATTTGAATAAGAGAAGTAAATCAAAGATGTACATATATCAATACTTTTGAAAATCACCCAAATACGTCGCTTTTTGGATATAATGGGTCAACATATGAATAAGAGCGGGGAGACATATTTACGGGATCCCATTATATTCCAAATTATTCTACATTAATGCCTTAATATGCCCTTAAATCTTTTTTCTTAAATAAGATTTGTTATTTTTTGAATAATAAAAAATGATTCTTTACAGGAATTAACCAATTAGCAATGTTATTACAAAATAGGCGAAGATTTCTTGTGAAAATGACAATTAATTTAGGGCAAAATAGTAGAAATTTTGATTTAAGTGCTGTTAGGGAAATTGAAACAACGGAAGAGGAAAACAAAAAAGAAAATGATGAAGAAATTAAATTATAAATTATTTAATAAACCTAATATTATATTTACTTACTTTTATACATTATTGTAAATTATGGTACTTTTTAATATGTATACTTTTTATGGGACATGCTCAAGTAAGTTATGGCTTTGCCACAACGGCGCAAAGCCATAACTTGCTGAAAAATTTCTGGCTTTTATCAATTTTGGTACCAATCTCTTTAGCTCGATGAGAGAAATCGTAAATTTGTTAGGATTCAGAAATCTTGAAGCAAGTTATAGACTACTTGGGTTCTACACACTTTTTATACATTTATACACCATACTTATTAACGAATGATGAAAGTAAAAGAATTAATTAAGCAAGTTGTAAACATTTCCTGCAGACAAAAACAGAAAAAATTACAGTCATTCATTTAGTCACACAAAAGTTTGGAACTGAAACGGCCTTTACCATACTGTCGTGAAAACGAGGGAAAATATATAAATAAAATTTATTTATTTTATTAATTTTATTTATTTATATTTTTATTAAATTTTAATATAATTTTTTCCCAAACATTACACAATTAGTCACTTTGCTCTTTCCCGAGCATTTCCGTTCTCTTCTCTCTTTTAAAATATACACTTTTTCTGTTTGTATAAAAGCCCCTATCTTATAATTATATCAGTTCTTTTTAGTTCTTCAAAATTCTTTAAGCTTTATTAAGCTTCTTCTTTGTAAAATTAATATATTTTATAAATAAATCTTTGGAAATTGTTTTCAATTTGTATTAAAATTGGGAATTAATTAGAAGGTAAAGAAACAAGGCAAGTTTAATTTTTTAGAAAAAATTCAAATTTTTAATTGGGAAAAAATTTTTTAAATTTCCTTAAAAACTTAGAATTACAGACTTTGTCTTTTTCTAAGTTGACTGTTAGCAATTTTTGTTAACAGCCAGTAACTTGTTTTCTGGGAAGTGTGGAAATTTTTAAAGGTAAAAACAGGTCCAACAGCCAGCAAAAGACAAGTCAAGGATGAGTAGCCCGTTGCAACAGCGGCTACAAATCACAATCGTAAAGATTGTTGATTTTTTTAAGGCAGACCTAACTGAATTTGATTCAGACCGGGTCCAGGAAATGCCTTTAGAAGAAGAGATTATAGAGCTAGAGAGCCTAATTGAAGATTTGGATAATCTGGTAAAAGGTCTATGCGCGGCTAAAGATGAAATTAATTCTGTTTTCGAAGATTGGACAGAATTGAATCGAAAGGCCACGGCAACAGAAAGGCCGGAATTCGACGCTTTATTTAAAGCGTTCGAAGCCAAGAATAGACCAAGCTTCTACTTTAATGAAGCAGAGAAGAGATTGACAGTTCTACGAATGTCAAAATCGAAATTAGGAAGAAAATTGAGGTTAAAACAGCTAAATTTAAGAAGAGAAAATGTTCAGGTAGAACAAGCACCACAAGTAGCTCCAGCCACGCCAGTTCACTATGAAATAAGACATGAGGCGCTGCGCATAGGCAAATTCCATGGCACCGATCCAGACCTTTGGCCTGATTGGTGGGAGCTCTTCATGTCAATACATGAAGATAGTGGTTTATCGACCGAAAGAAAATTTCTTTATCTTCGGTCGTTCATTCCACAGGACAGTCCTGCCGGTCTTTTGATCGACGGGTTCCAACCGGGCGAATATGTTCAAGCAATCGATCTGCTTAAACAAAATTACGAAAATAAAGATAGAAGAATCAGAAATTTGCAGCAACAGCTGCTGGCACTTCCACATTGCAATACTCTGGAAGATGTCAGAAAATTCTATCTGAATTTGGAACGAATCTGTCGCCAATTGGCTGGTCTTGGAAATGACACAGATTCGGATCTTTATTATAACCTTCTGGAAACAAAATTGACGCGACCAATGTTAAGAGAAATTTTGGCCGTCAAAAAGGAAGCTGGAGACTCTTGGACAACCAGCAAATTCAGACTCGAGCTAAAGAAGCTATTAGAGTCTGAAATGGAAATCTCGTCAATTTTAAAAAAGACGGGCGAGGACAAGAAAGGCGAAGAGAAAAAACATTTTTCTAGGCCAAAGGACGAACTTCATACGCCGAAAAGGACAGGCAATGAAAAAAGGAATGAAAAAGGAAAAAAGGATGAGTGAAAAATGAAAAAAGGATGAGTGAAAAGGATGAGAAAATGAAAGAAAAAAAAAATGAAAAAAAAAATGAAAAAAAAAAATCAAAAAACTCAATGAAAAAAGGATGAGTCCAAGGAATGAGGATGATTCACCTCCTCCGACAGTCGCTTGTCCGACTGTTGGAAAAACAAATCGAAAGGAAACGGTAAGAGATAAGAAAGGAAAAAGATCTCTCTACTGTTATTTTTGCCAGAAAAAACACTGGTCTAATGAGTGTAGAACATATTCAACACTTCAGGCGCGAAAAGAGCGTATTAAAGAAGAAAAGCGCTGTATTCGCTGCTGCAGACTCGGACACGAGGCCGCAGACTGTGAGCACCCATCGCAATGTTTGGGATGCTCAGGGGCACATCCTTTAGCGTTGTGCCCGAACCTTAAAATCCCGCAGCAGCCGAAGTTTAAACAATCAGTTGGCGTTGGAAAACAAAACGGGGTTAAGAAAAAATGGACCCAAGAAAAAATCAAAAAGTCGGCTGATGATGGGAAACAAAGCCATTATCAGAAAAAATGGACTCCGAAAAAATGGACTTCCAAAAAATGGAACATGGATTCCACCAAAGCAACAGCGCCGGAAACCCAGGCAATAGGTTTCAAATACTGCTTGTTGAAATGCGTACAAGCAAAAATGTTCAACCCAAAATGTGGGAGGAAGAAAAATGCATCCGGAACAATTTTTATTGATTCTGGAAGCCAAAGTAGCATGATCTCTGAGAGACTTGCCAATGAATTAAAGCTAAAGCCTCACTCATTCGAAAAATTAGAATTGAGAGGTGTAGGCCCACGAGATCTTGCCACTTCGTCTTATTCGAAGATGGTAAAAGTTGGTCTTGAAACTAGTAACGGACCAATGAATTTGGAACTTCTAGTCGTTCCAAGTGAACACCTCCCTCCGATGATAACAGTTCAAATCGGCGACCAAGATAAAGCAACCTTGGAAACCAAGCCATTGGAGGTGAAGCACAGAATAGAAAACCCCGATGTACTAATTGGGGCAAAATATTTAAATGAATTGGAAATAGCAAAGATCCGCCAACTTCCCAGCGGATTCTGGCTTTCCAAATCAATTTTGGGTCCACTGCTGGATAGCGAAGGAGAACTAGTTGCTTCGGCAATTGTTTCACAATTGCCGGAACTAAATTGTGTTTGTCCTCAAATTGAGGCAAGACACAAATGCCTTACAAAAAGAAAGGTAGAAGTTATGACAAGACAGGAAAAAGCAATCCAAAAATTAAACAAAAAATGGATTGCAGCCCAAAAACAAGGTGCGACCAAAAATAATTGGTCAAATCTCCGTCCCTGTGGAGGGAGTGTCGTCCCTATTGAGGACGAATATGCGCCCCTGAGCTTCTGGCGAAAGGGGCGGAACAAAAAATTCGAGGAAGGAGAACTCCGTACCGTCAAACAAAAAATTGCGGAACCGGATAGAATGGGGAAACAACCCCATAAACAGCTCTACCCAACCGAAATCAAAAGAGAAGGGTTGACAAAGAGAAATTTTATCGGATCAATAAAAAAGAATTGGGCCGAAAAATTTGCCTCGAGACAACCGAATTGGTCCACCCCCACTCGGGGCTTTGCAATGAGTGGGGAACAGTCGGACCAACTGGTCGACTTGGGGATAATAGCACCGGTCGTTTCAGACCAAGGGCTAGCTGTCAAAGAAGCACAGCACAATCGATTATTGGGCCGTGGCAGTCGAAGCCTGAATGACCCAGCCGCAGCAGACACGGTCGGTTCCTTCGGAGCCCTTCGTGGGTATGACCACACATTAGCCTCAACATCCCGAGGCAAGAGGGAATTAAGCTTTAGGGGGATGAAGCAGCACTCCAAACTTTCATCAGCACTGGTGGCTTGGAAGCTTGGATCTGCTGGAGGAAGAGGACAAGGCATAGGGCCGAGCACTTCACACATCAACCCCGGTGTTGGGAGTGTCGTGAAAACGAGGGAAAATATATAAATAAAATTTATTTATTTTATTAATTTTATTTATTTATATTTTTATTAAATTTTAATATAATTTTTTCCCAAACATTACACAATTAGTCACTTTGCTCTTTCCCGAGCATTTCCGTTCTCTTCTCTCTTTTAAAATATACACTTTTTCTGTTTGTATAAAAGCCCCTATCTTATAATTATATCAGTTCTTTTTAGTTCTTCAAAATTCTTTAAGCTTTATTAAGCTTCTTCTTTGTAAAATTAATATATTTTATAAATAAATCTTTGGAAATTGTTTTCAATTTGTATTAAAATTGGGAATTAATTAGAAGGTTACTTGGTTTCGCCAACAAATACTTATCTTCTGGTATTTGTTGTAGCTTAGAAAGACTTATTTCTTTCAATACCTTTTCAAGTCCATTGTTTTAAAAAGATATGGAGGAATGTTTAAATTTAATTTTTAAGTACATTTCCACGTTTTTTAATTTAATTTTTAAAATCCGTTATTTGATTTAGAATATGTCAAATTATAAAAATTATTCAAAAACAACTTTAATTAATTATAACAATAAAAACAATTATTCTTTTTGCAATTATAATGATTATTTAAATAAGGCTTGGGGGTTAAAAGCAATTAGTCCATTTATTAATCAAGGGTATAATCTTCAAAATGAAAAGGAAAAAGGCAAGTTTCTTTAATAAATTTGAATACTAATATATTTTTGGGAGCCAGACGTATCGGAATATTTTAGTGTACGAATAGCTACTCAACTAGGTTTACGACCTAAGGCCACTGGGTCTTGGATAGCAGGGATGTCAAGGGCTGAGGAAAAAGTCAAGTTGGGGTTTAAAGATTTTCGTCTATCGGGGGTCGTGTCGAGAAAGTCCGAGTTTTGGGTATCGGGGACCAGCGGCTTCTATGTTGGGTAGTTATTCTATTTTTGTCAATCTCAACGTATCTCCTTACCTTCTTTTTTTAACAATTAAATCTATCCAAGGCTTATTTTTTAAATTTCAGAACCTCTTACAAATCCAAAGAAAATCAAAAATATTTATATTGATCGAAATAAACGTGAATGGCATTTTCTACAATTTGTTGGTTTCAAATCAAGTATATACAAGCCTTTAATTAAAAGAAAATATGGAATGGTACAGGATGGTAAAAGTTTAGAAAATATTAATTTTAGGTAAAATTTTATTTTTAATTTATTGGTAAAAAGAGGGGGGTTTGGTACATCTAAGAAAGAACAAGTGAACTTTCGGTACTTTTGTGGTTCCGGACACACCTCAGAGCCCCTCGTTCACCGCCCCGCAGTTCGGATTTCCCTCATTTCCAGTTCCTCGCAAACCCAGTCCCCGTAATATTAAAGGAAACTTTTATACACAAACCAGAGGAGACGTCAAGGGCGTAGCTAGGGGGTCGATTTCAGGGGGATGACCCCCTCCCCCTCTCAAATATGGGAAGAGCACCTTTTGCTCATTTTTCTAGGACCAATCTCCTCTTAATTTACCTAACATATTTAGATGTACTCTATCAAGAAAACTTTCTTGTAAAGTTCGTGGAAAACTTGTAAAATCTGATGGAAATTTATTTACTCGTTGTGAACATAACCATCCAATTGATGATTTATTATTAGAAGAAAATCAAGATAACTCTATTGATGCTGTTGAGGAAGGTGGAAATTCGGAGAATGTGAGGAATTTCCTAAATAAAATTTTTTTTGTAATTTTTAGTCTTAGAAAATAGTTATTTTGGCTTTTTTCCAAAAAAAACATTTTTATTGCAATTATGGTTGCCATTTCCGATTCAAGCCGACGTTCGGTGATTTTTTTGAGCTTGATTTTTTCGGTTCGTTTTCGAGCTGAAAAGCTTCGGCTCGCTCATCTTTCGAGTTTCGGGTCGAGCGAGCTGGCAACCCTAATTGCAATGATTCAATATAGTTTCCGTTTCCCTTATACCGAAAACGCATTAAATTTTTTGTTGCCGTCCTGTTGTTGTGAGCCCATGATTTGCCTTGCAAGAATAACGGACATCTATCGCTAATTAGTTAGGTGTAGGTAGGGCTGGAAAAGAGGAGGGGATCGAAGACTAGCCAGGCTAGTATGATCCATTTAAACTAAGCTGATACTGGCTTTTACGCTTTAATTTCGGATTTTAAATTGTTATAATTTTTCGCTTGTTAAATTTTTTTAAAAAGTTCCGATGAAAAATTAGGGTCAGTTTCGAATCTGGTCAAAATTTCCTATCTGTTATAAAACTGTCTTTTGTTGGCGGCGTTAAAATATGCGGCGCGACATTTGTGGCAGAAACATTTGCAAACTAAATCTATCTAACCTAGGGTTATTGGTTCTTGAAAAATCGTTGGTTTTGGGTTCGATTCTAGCCGACAACCCTAATCTCTAACAATAAATAATTTTTAAATTAAATTTTTAGCAGATATTGTCAACTTCTTTAATTAATAAAAAAGGAAAATCTCGTCAAAATGAATTAATTAATTATTTATTTCCTCATTGCGTTGAAACAAAAATAAATAAAAATAAATGGTTAAGAATCGAACAAGAAGAAGAAGAAAATTATTTTAAGCAAAAAGAAGGCCAATTTTATTTTGATAAAGAAGGAAATAAATGGAATTTTGTTAAAAATATTAAAAATGAGAAGGATTTGGATTTTTTTATTAAACAAAATTTTCTTAAACTTTGGGATGAGAAAAGTGGAAAAATTAGTTTTTGGTAAGGAAATTTTATGAAATTATTTTTTTGAAATTTTTTAATAAATAAATTGAAAATTTCATAAGAAAAATATTTTTTGTAGAGATATTCTAAATTAAATTAATTTCCAAGCTAGGCTGAGGTTTTGAAAGGATTAAGGTTCTAAGATATTCCCAAACCCTCGATATCCTCCAAGTAAGCTATTTCTCTTTTACTTTTTCCAAATCCTTTGATATTCCCTTTATTCCCTCCAAATCCTCCCTCCTTCCTTCCTAATCTCATTAGACTATTAAGACTCAACTGAAGCATATATATTTTTATTTGGACGGAATTTTGATCCAACTAAATTTTGTTTTGTCGAAGTTTTGCCTTGACACAGTTTCCATTGCCATATAGTGTCAGGCTAATAAAAGGTCCAGACAAAACACGAAATTCGGTCCAACTAAACCGTTCAAATAAATAAGCCTTTCAATGGGTGAGGTCATTTTGTTCAGACTGTATTTTGGTAGGAGATAGGACGAGAGATCTGACTTGAAGTGTTGTGCGAGGTTTGTTATCGATATCTCGAAAAATATCAATCCCGATATTTTTGATTGAAATAAGTCTGTCCTATTTCTTTGCCTGATTTTTGAAGACCAAGTTTTGTCCCTTTAACTAATAAATATTTTTGTAGAAGAAAATATTTTAAATTAAATTTAAATAAATTGCAAATTTTCTCTCTAATTTTAATAATTATTTTTATTTTTAAGTTGTCGATATACTTTTAATTGTTTGTGTCCTTTTCGTGCTATTTTACTTAAAGACAATGGCTCTTTATTTACCAGATTTGATCATAATCATGCAATTCAAGAAACAATTTTTTGTTAAAAATTTATTTAAGAAAATTTAATTAAAATTCGAGTAAATATAAAATTTACAAAATATTTTTTGTTTTAAAATTTGATCTCTAAAGAAATTTTTTTTTGAAATTTATTATTGTAAAATAATGCTTAAAATAAAAATTTTTGTTTTTTTTAAATTTTTTTAAATTGAAAATTTGTTAGATGAACATGGTGAAAGGATATTACTTGAAAAAAAGATTATCATTATTACTTTAACATTTTTGAATGACTCTTATTTTTCATGATTCAAAAGTACAGGATAAGATTAAGACCTTGTAAAGTCTACCCTTGCAAATAATTACTAATAATTATTTCCTTAATATTTTTTTAATTTACACAAATTTTTTTGCTAAAAATATTAGGACATATTTACTATAATAGTTTATTTTAGTTTTTTTGTTTTTATTTTCCCTAAGCTATTAATTAAACAGGAAATAATAAGATTTATTAAATAATAAATTTTGATTATTACAACTACCTCAATTCTAATTAAACCCTTGGGGTTGAAAAAACACCTTTAACAATAATAACTACATCCTTGACTTAATATAAATGTACTATTATATAATAATATTATTTCTGACAGATTTATTGTTTTTTATTAACATCTGATTATCCAGTTAATCATCCTCTAATATATCTGCTCAAAGGGAGAAGCACACCGGTGTAGCTTAACACAGGTATTAGCTTGGGTCTGGCCAACCCAAAAGCTATCCTTCGGGAACATAATGTATTTATACCTAAATTAGGTTTATGGAATAGTCCCAGCACACTTACATTTCACTGCTAAACATTTTATTGCATTAATTCAAGCTTCTTGATAAAATTTTGTCAATTTAGTTGTCATATTTGGTACAAATTTCCAATTTCGAGTGCCCAGCCCTAACGATATTAATATCTAATGGAATATATTTTGTGGAATCGTAAAGAATTTGACATAATTTATAATTGTACGGGAATTAATGTTGATGATATTCCAATTGAAAAAAGAAGATATCCAATAGCTGCAATTATTTGTATTTTACTTGGATTTATATATTATGTACGGAATTCTTTAAGAAACTTTTCTAAATTTAAAATTTAAGCCTATATATTTTCCTTGTCTTTACTCTTTTTGGAAAAATAGAAACAAAAATCCTTGTTATAAACTTTTAATTTATCTGTCAATTTTGGATATTGGCATACTTTGGTTGCCAACTTTCTCTGCTGGAATTTTTAGTTTAAACGGTGTTGTTTACTGTACTTCCCCAATATCCACATATGTTGTTGGATGTGCTTGTTTATGTAAGTTTTTTAGGGTGCCAATTAAGTTGATTAGGAAACTCGATGAAATTATTACAAAAATTTTGAATATACATATATATTTTTCCGAGATTTTCGCGTAATTATTATACGCCATTTTCAGGAGAAACCGAAAATTTCCTAATACTGGACTTTTTTCGGATCCGGATTAGTGTTTTAAAATTTGCTATATATGTATTCATTTAGAGCAGATATAGACCGATTTTAACGAGATAGCATGTTGAGATTTTATGTAGGAAAAATTTAAAAATCATTAAATAAATTGAGCTCAGCGGCGCTAGTTCTTTGAAGTTTAGGGCTCAATTTAAAATACATATTAGCGGCAAAGGAGCCTAAAACAGTTTGGGGAACATTTAAAATTTAAATTTTTTAGTTTTATGGGCTGCTGAATGTTGTGCAGATATGGTTTCACATAAATAAAAATATTTATATTTATTCTTTAGATTTTGGGAATTAATCGTTGCCTTGAAATGGCATTTCCAAATATTTCCAACATACTTTTTCATAACAATCGTGTTTATATTTGGATTATTTTTTGTAATTTATATGGACTTTATTGGCTTTTATTTATACATCCTTATATTTTTAACGGATTAACTTTTGAATATTTATTTGATCCTTTAATTGGATATAAAGATTTTAGAATGGAATTAGTTAATTTTTAATTTAGTCATTTATAGCTTAAAGTAAAGTAGCACCCCGATCAGTGTCTGGACGTAGGTGAAAAGATTTTCCGCAGTTGCCCCGTCCGTAAGTCAAAATACTACGCAATCCTCAATTGCATCCAGCTTTGATTCTGGCCATTAAAGATAGGGATTGTCGATGATTGGGGTATGCTGGTGTGGGCATGTCAGGGTTTATGGTTGGGGTTAATTGGATATAAACTTTAGAATGGAATCATTTAATTATTTAATTTTAATTTATTTATTAGTTTAAAGAAGATTTAAGAGAATTTACTATACACAACACAATTTTGGCTGTTGGATCTCCAATAATTTATTCAATTTTTTCACTTTGTGTTTTCTTCAAAGCCCGTGAATTAATTGATAATGTTTCGAAGGAAGAGAAAATGGTTGAAATTAGACGAGAACAATTTTTAAATTAAAATATTTTTGAAGGTTTTTATCCAAGTATTTATTATTTCAATGTTCAATACATCAGCAGCATTTGCCTATGCTTACAATATGAATCATCCTGATCACGGAATCTTTCCATTGATGGTTGCACATTTTGCTTGGTAATTAAATTAACTATTTTTTTAAATTTAATTATTTTTATTTTAAGGATTCAAATTCATGGTAAATAAAAAATAAATTTAAATATATTTCGTTTAAAATTCTTAAATTTTTTAGGTTTCCCACCAGTTATTTATTTAACATTAAACAAAACTGTTCGGACTGACACAAAAATTCTATTTGGAAAATTCGTCAGTTTATTTAAAGCAAATCAAAATAAAGTTTCAAGTATGCTTGGATATACTTAATATTCTGTTAATGAAAAAAATAAAAATATTTCCGTTATTTCGGCTGTATAACCCCCTTAAAATGATAAATACAATGTAATACAGGTACTTATTGGTTATCCCAAAGTAGTTTTTGCGGACATTTTATGAGGACTGATGTTGCATGGAATGGTCAAAGGTTCTTCCTCGATTTTCTCAATTTTCTCTGTGCTCTCAATGAATGAAGCCAAGAGGAAAATTGAGTGAAATCGAAAAAGGAAGAACCTTCTTGCTTTGTTGGGCGGAAGAAGCTTTGACCATTCCGTACAAAAATGAGTCCGCATAAAATGTCCGTAAAACTACTTTGGGATAACCAATAAGTACCGTAATACATTATTCAGTTTGTGAATTACTTGCTAATTTTTTGAATAAAGATCTTGTGTTCTATATCTTTTTTTGGTTTATGCTTCTCAATAAATTAATTATTATAGACATATTTTTTTAATTTTAGACTTAAAATTTTTTCAAGTGTGTATGCTACAATGAAATTAAATATCTACATATCTATGATTTCATCAAATAAATTATTTAGTACAAACCATATTTACTATCGAAATAACAAAACATACATTATATACATAATTTCCTACATTTCACAACACAATATATACAAATTATCACACAAACACAAAATTATCTATACTAAATCAATTCTTCTAACTTCCGAATAATACGGCTGCTTGGAACCAACATGGAAGCACAAATACAACAAAACATGTTCTTGTGGATTATTAACACCAAAGAATTCGTACTCAGCAACCTTACAAAAGTCCTCCACTTCCTCCTCCGCTCTCAGAAAATGACATTCCTCGTCTTTAATCATTTCTCCATGCAATTTCCATCCAGAATTTTCATAGTAAAAGCCTTTATCTCCATGAATAACCACGTGATGATACAAAAATTGATATCCTTTAGGGAAAGAGTAGGTTCCTTCATCGTAAAGATACAAAATGGTTGTGTGGAATTTCAACGGAGAATCACCAAAAAATAATTCGATAATTTCCGGATTGATATAGCCCTGCTCAATTTTGAAGTTTTCGATGAAACAATAGGAAAGCTTCTTAAGCCAAAAACGAAAAACAATCATTTCCTCAATTGTGTCTGGATATCGTTTTAATTGCAAACGAAGAATTTTGGGAGATTTTCCATCTAAAAATTGAATGGGGAAATTTAATTAATATGAGATAAGTGTCTTCACCTGTTTCTTTTGATACAAGAAACAAATTTGCAATTTCATTTATTTTATAATCACAAATTGCCACATCAAAGTATATACGAGAAGAGTATTTCTTGTAATAATGGTAATTATGAATCCGTTCCTGAATTGCTGTTTTCCACTGAAAATTAAATGTTAGAAGAATTCGTAAATAAAATGAATTAAACCTTCAATTCGTCTTCCTCGCTTAAATTGAAGTCCAATTCATTAGGATTATATTCCAACTCTTTACAGACATCTGTAAAATAAAGACTTTTACTAATAACAAATTAATTTGAAAAACCCTACAATTTTTCCAAACAACCAATTCAACAGAATAGAACACCTTCATAGCCAATTCTTTGTTGTAATTGATGATCAATTCACAAAAATGACGATTTGACAGTTGAATGTTGTTTAATTGGTTGAAGTTGAGGCATTTGAAAATGTCAAGGGTTGTTTCAGCGGGTAGAAAATTCATTGTTGTTTGCTGAGATTTAAAAAAGTTTATTTAAAACTTCAGCCTTTTATACTATATCTTTCTAGGCTTACATGTAAGCACTAATCTTTTAATTCAAATAATTCCTAGTACATAATTCCTCTTTCACAGAAGGTTGTGAAAAGTGCTGCATCTGGCTTGAATTGCTTAACTCTGGAAGACTGGAGCCAATATTTCGAAATGTCAAAATTCCAGGTGCCGGAGAGCCGGAGCCAAGTATTTAAAAGAGTCGACCGGAGCCATCTTCAACTCGTCGCTCAAATACTGATTAAAATTTTCATAAATAATTTTTTAAATTCTTTTAAATTTTAAAATAGGGACTTATCTAAAATAATAGAATCCTTTCATCTCTTATTTACATATGTAATTAGTTTCGCCTTTCAATTAACGATTTGGCAATTATGTATTATCTATTTTTACGATTCAATTCATATTTTCTATAATATTAATAAGCCTTGATTAAAAATTTAACTCAACATTTGACCGTGTCCACGTTCTTGAGGATGTTTACTGATCGCGGTCTGCAGTTTTTAAAGCCAACAGTCGTGCCTACCTCACTAAGGCTGCGTTATAAGGCAATTTATAAATGTTAATGACAGAAAAAGTTATGCTGTAATTGAATGTGTGCCATGGCCATCCTGTATAAAAATTTTAAATTTCTCTATCATTCGCTCTATTATTCACATTACGATTGAAATAAACAAAAAAGTGGTCATTATTAGGGCTCGGATTTGTATTGAAATATATTTTTTTTCCTGAATATATTATGGCGAGAGAAGCTCAAATATGCCATTAGTTTTTCGATATTATGATTTTGAACGAATTTACATTTCAATATATTTCAATATTTTGCCAATTTTCCAGTTATTTCAATATTTGGCACATTTTTCAAACTATTTCAATATTTTTGGATATTTTTACCAAAATTTAGGGATTTTTCATAAATTTTAGGAAAAAAGTGAATAAATCTGGCCGCCTGACAACCAAAAATCTCAAAATTTTCGCCTGCGGCGCTGAAAAGGGGATATTATGGCCTATTATTCACCAAAGTACCGTTGCCTTCCCACTATTTATTGCCTAGACATTCTTCGTAACAGGACAAAAAATTCTCAATTAACAAAAACCTCAAAATTTGTTGGGCAAAACCTCAAAAATGGCACATTGAGCAAAACAGCTAAATGTCCCAACCTCATTTTGTCAATCGTAAAATGTCCAAGAGCGTAAAATTACTCAATTCGTCGGGCTATTGTGCAATTTTAAAAACGTGATTCATTTTTTCGTTAAATTTCAATTAAATTTCAACATTTTTGGGGGTTTTCTAGTGAATAAACGATAATTTATTTCAATATTTCACTAATTTTTGGCATTTTTTGTCAATATTTTGCCCACTTATTTCAATATTTTATGGCCATATTTTGCGATTTTATTTCAATATAAATCCGAGCCCTAGTCATTATAATTCTAAATTATAAATATATAATTTGCATTTATATATTTAAGAAAATACGATAAAGTACATATAAAATAATTATATATTCAGCAGACAAAAATTTCTGATAAAATAATTGTTTACGATTATGTTAAAATTGTACACCTGTCAATTAAATAAACGGAAAAGTTGTTTAAATATTTAAATTGTAAACAGAAATTAAAGAAAAAGTTTAAACAAAATTTTTAAATTATAATTATAATGAATTATACATATATTTTTTCCTTACAATTACATATTAAAAAATTGAAGTCGAAACAGATATCATTATTAGAATATAAGTATATTTCCTCTATGAAAATTTAATAAAAATTGAACCTCATTATAGGTTACATCCATTACTAAATATACTAACAAAATTTAAAATACTTTTTTAATTTGCCTACTGAATGGGGAGGCTGTCTATTTATGGGATACACACAATTTAAGATATGCCTCATACTAAAATACAATTTTGCACCCCGAAGGGGTTATCTTAAATTGAAGTCCAAATAAAATTTTTTAGAAATATTTTAAATAATGGAATATATTTTGTGGAATCGTAAAGAATTTGACATAATTTATAATTGTACGGGAATTAATGTTGATGATATTCCAATTGAAAAAAGAAGATATCCAATAGCTGCAATTATTTGTATTTTACTTGGATTTATATATTATGTACGGAATTTAAGAAACTTTTCTAAATTTAAAATTTAAGCCTATATATTTTCCTTGTCTTTACTCTTTTTGGAAAAATAGAAACAAAAATCCTTGCTATAAACTTTTAATTTATCTTTCAATTTTGGATATTGGCATACTTTGGGTACCGACATTTGCAACCGGAATTTTTAGCTTAAGCGGTGTTGTTTACTGTACTTCCCCAATATCCACATATATTGCTGGGTGTGCATGTTTATGTAAGTTTATTTTAGAATGTCAATTAGTAAGTTCATTTGAAAGCTCGATGAAATTTTTTGCGAAAATTTTCAATATATATTTTGCCGAGATTTGCCGAATCCAAAAAATAGACGATAAAGAATTTTTTGGATCCTGATATCTGGATTGGTGCTTTCAAATTTCTTATATTCATTTAGAGTAGATATAGACCGATTTTAACGAGATACCATGTTGAGGTTTCTAAGAATCATTAAATAATTTGAACTTAGCGGCACTAGTTTTTTAATGTTTAAGGCTAAATTGAAAATATTTATTAAAGGATAAATCTTTTGATTTTTGGTAGATTTTTAGTGTCAGAACTAAATTTTCTCCACGTGTCCGTAATCTGTTCCATGTAGTAGTTCTGAAAGTCAATCACTAAAACAGTTCGGGGAATATTTAAAATTTAAATTTTTTAGTTTTATGGGCTGCTGAATGTTCTGCAGATATGGTTTCATATAAATAAAATTTTTCTAAATATTTATTCTTTAGATTTTGGGAATAAATCGTTGCCTCGAAATGGCATTTCCAAATATTTCCAATTTACTTTTTCATAACAATCGTGTTTATATTTGGATTATTTTTTGTAATTTATATGGGCTTTATTGGCTTTTATTTATACATCCTTATATTTTTAATGGACTGACTTTTGAATATTTATTTGATCCTTTAATTGGATATAAAGATTTTAGAATGGAATTAGTTAATTTTTAATTTAATCATTTATAGTTTAAATTTTAAAGTAAAGTAAGGCTCCAACCCCGCCCAGAGCAGGACGTAGGTGAAAAAGATTTTCCGTTGCCGCAACCCACAATCCTCAAGTAAAAAAACCCGCAATTTACTCAATCCTCAATTGCGTCCAGCCCTGACCCCTCAAGATTGGGGTTTGCTGGGGTGAGCATGTCGGGGTTAGGGGTTGGGGTTAATTGGATATAAACTTTAGAATGGTATTAGTTAATTAATTTAACTTTAATTTATTTATAGTTTAATGAAGATTTAAGAGAATTTACTATACACAACACAATTTTGGCTGCTTTAATTTTGCTGCTTTAATTTTTAATTAATTTTAATTTACTTTAATTTTAATTTACTTTAACTGCTTTAATTTTAAGGATTCAGATTCATGGTAAATAAATATTTTAGTATATTTTGTTTAAAATTCTTACATTTTTTTAGGTTTCCCACCAGTAATTTATTTAACATTAAACAAAACTGTTCGGAATGACACAAAAAAGTTGCTTGCAAAATTTTTCAGTTTATTTAAACAAAATAAAGTTTCGAATATGATTGGACCTAAATGAAATTAATTATAAGTATGTAGATAAATATTGTATATTCGGTTATTGAAAAAGTAAAACTCGTTATTTCGACTCCTTTTAGGCAGGGCTCTAATCCTAACTAATTTTGGGAGTTTATGTATATCTTTTTTTCTATTTCTGCAAATCTTATATTTTGTAAATTCTTACACTTTGTAATTATTAATTAAACTTTTGGTATTTTAACTAAACATTTTTTCGATAATAATCCTTCTTTTAAGTATGATAAATTAAATATTTTACTATTAATTTTGTAAAATATTTCCTAATTTTTAGAATAAAAAGTTTACAATCTTATAAATTTTTGTATTTTAATGAATGTGATAATCAACAAATTTTTAAATTAGCCACAAAATGCAAATTTAGCTTTGTAGAGTCGATTAAAATTATTTTTTCTTAAGCAAACTTAACGTTATTTTTTTTGTTTCTTTAAAAACAGGGTTATGATAGGTACTTTTTTGAAAGTATGTACTTTTAAATCAACATGTTGGATCGAAAATGAAATAGAGGAAGACATTGGGCAAAAAAGTGAATTTTTCTGCCTACGGCCTTAAAAATTTGTAAAATTCAGGATATCCTAAACAATTAAAGATAGAAAAAACCAAAAATAGTGTATTAAGAATGAAAGTTAAACAATTGGAGGATAAAAATAAATTTTTGGAAACTGAGAGTTTTGGAGAGTTTTAAAAATGTAAAAGAAAATTAAAATTATTATATTCATACATACATATGTATCTGAAGAAATTTTTTCCGAAAATGATTTGTCGTGAATATCTACGTAAATATTGAGAAAAGGAGGCAAAAAAAGATTAATTTGTTGAGGGAATATTTTAAATTAATATACCTAATTAGAAAATGTTCTGAAAGGTTAAATATAAACTTCACTAAAGGCTGTTGGATTACCTAAAATTTAATTTCTTTTAAATTACTCTTTTAAAAATTAAATGGGGATTTTTAATTATAATGAAAAAATGTTAATCTCAGCTTTTCCCCTAGTTAGTGTTTAGTATGTTCAAACAAATATCAATTTAATTAAGAATGTTTTAAAATAAAATATAAACTTTAAATTTTTATTAACTTTTAGGCAAACTTTTTCGCCTCACTTTTTTCTCATCATACTTAATTACAAC